CGCTAAGCAAGTTTTTATACTTACAAAACGATGTATTTATGTAATGTATTTATTGAGATTTTTTTTGTTAAATAACTCCACTAGTTTTGTTTCCTATTATATATTCCTATTATTCATAATCCTTGTATGAATACAAGGATTATGAATTCTCGTCGACCCGGTGGGACTTGAACCCACGTCCTTGAATCTTTGTACTCATAATCATAACAGAAGTTTCTGCGATCAGACTGTGGAATTCTCTCCCTGAATCGATTCAAGGTTCTCCTTCTCTTGATTCCTTCAAACGACGTGTCAAGGATCACTTCCTCAATTCCTAAGTTTTGTCTTTTTCTCCACTATCCTTTCATTTATTTCCTATACTTATTATTTAATTTTTCTTTTTCCTTTTAAAGTATATAAGCATTTATTATTATTATTTATGTATTGTTATGTATTAATAATATTTGTATGGATATTTCTATCTACGTATATGAGTTTATTAATAATTATTATTTAGTGCACTTACAATGATATTCTTTGGTTGCACCCCTTTTGCATATCCCAAATTTCTATCCTAAGGTTGCCAGGAAGAAATTGCTATATAGGCCACCTGTTGCACATTATCTTACTATCTTTATACCTAAGTTACTTTATTGTATTTTAAATGTAATTTTATGTGCAATAAAGAATATTTCATTCATTCATTCATTCATTCAGAACTTTGCCTAAGTTTGTCTGTAAAGTTTGTTTTAAGAAGTGAAATACCTACCTGGTAGTTTCGAATTACATTTTCCATGACACGAGCCCTTCGTGCGACGTCGTCAATCTCGAGAGCCTTCGTTCCGGTGGCTACGAAACCTTTTAGATCGATTCCTGGAAGTTATAAGGACATAGTGGCGTTAGTACTTTTGAAATTAACTTGCTGTGGAAACAGTGTAGCATTTAAATACCCTTGAGAAACTACAGTACACTGCTCATATATAGGTTGAACTCGTTAATTGTGCCCATACGAATGTCCGGTGAAAATAAGAGATAATAAAAAGGTTTAAACTAATATCGACAGTACGTTACCTAATAAGTAAAACGACATCAATAATTTGTTTTAAATAAAACTAGAAATATCCAAAATTTTGACGTGACGATATCAACTGTAATTTGAAATAAAGATAACTAAATAAAAAAAAAGCTAGCCAAATTTAACTTCAAAATTCCCTCAAGATACCTTTAGGTTTGCTATTATTCCTTTAGTGTCACCATTCCTTAAGACCATTCTGTGCTTAAATTTGTTTTATTTTTATAATACAAAGTGACGGGGCGAACAATTCGTGCGCCTGGTTGTAAGCGACAGGCCTATCCATAACAGTTGCAGTGCCATTCAGAGCTTTAAATTTCAAAGACCTTATGGGCACTGCCACTGCGCCCGTCACCCTGAGACGAAAGTTGACACTCCCCATGTGCCTGTAATTAAGTAACAAATCATATGCTTCTATAATAAGATTCCGGTTGATATTTAAAATTGAAATTTACGAGATTAAACTATAGTGAGTCAATACAGCTTCTGCGTACTTGGATAACAAAGTCCAGCCACTATTTATTCTCAGACGCATTTGCCTTACGTATGAGCAGTAGAGTATAATCAATTTGACGGTTTGAAACGTAATTTACTTACATATGAAATGAAGATTATTTGTGTTTCAATCATTTGGTTGTGTCATTGCAGAGGAATACCGCCTCTCCCATTTGAAATAAAAAATCAAGTTCATATGCGACTTACCGGCAGTAAAGTGTTTTCCTCTGCCTGAAACCACAATAGCTCTACATTCTAGATTCTCACTCAAAGACCGGAAGCACCGTAGTATTTCACTGAAAATTCAAGATATCTAAGTTACATAAACAATATCATTTAATAATATTTTATGCAATCGTTGCATAATGAGGGCCACGTGGCCTAAGTAATAGGTATTAGATTTTAAGACCTAATCATGTAATGATTGCATACAATACTTTTTCTGCAAATCAAATAATGAATGACAACCAGTATTTAATGTATATTTTGTTAACAATCCACAACAACTCAAACGATGCCAAACAAACGCGCCAAAACAAAAAACCGTAGAGATAGAATAGAAGTGTCAGTGATTGGCCAAGTGCCGCTTATATTTTAACCAATCAGGAGGCAGTACAGTGTCTGAGTAGCGTTATATTTGATATTTTAATTAGCAAAAGTACGACGTTCTTTTATGATACGAAATTTTTCATTTCAGTAGCGAGTACCACAGAAAATAGAATTTTGGGTCTGAAATAAAAAGAACGACTTTGTGATATAGTTTTTGAAATTATAATTGATAGATTAAAGTAACAGGGCAACCGCAGGATTCTTGGTTTCTAGGTTTGCCTGATTTGAGTATCCTTGGGCATGGCGAAGCATACCGTTCGCGACATCGTGCTTGGGCCTGACCTCTCATCAAATCAGTCGTAACTGGTTTATTACCAGTTGAATATTTAAAAATGGTAGTATAAAAACTTTCATAGATTTCTATAATTTCACAAAAATATTTGAATATCATGGTAGTAAAAGATCGTGATACTCAATAAACTTAATAGGACAATAGCTGAAGAAGCTGAGAAGAAGAAGAAACCATATGCCATGAAGGAGAAGACTTTGGGTGTATAACCTTCGGAAGACTGCTGAAGCATCTTAAAGGCTTGGTTTCCCTAAGTTTGCCGCAGCTTTGTTTTTGTAGCTATGACCATTATAATTGAAATTTCAATTATAATGTTATAACGTTACGGTATCTTACTATTTCGACCCCTCCTACAAAAAGTGTCGTATGTCAATTTCGACATACGATACTTGTCGAACTTAAATAATTAATTATTTTAATAATTTAATTTAAAATTATAAAATAAATTGTGATTATTCATCTAACCGATATTTAGGATTTTATAATGCTATATATGAGTAACGAGCTTTGCCAAATAAAACTGAGAAATGCTAAAGTCACGTGTTATGCTCACTTCAGTGTATTCAAAACTTTCAAAAGCTCCCCTGTAAACTTGGCAATTTCGACATACAATACTTTAAGTAGGAGGCGTCGATTTGTCACCTAAGAATTCTCTGCCGTACTGTCCTGTCAGTGGGCGCCAAGCCTAAATCTTCAAAAGTTTTATTTTTGGACATGCAAGCTTCAACTTCCATGAATTTTTGTCATCATTAACATCTGATGATAGCATTTATACGGACCTCTATAGATAATGCTATGACTTACTCAAACATCTGTGAAGTTATACTATTAAGTTTGTCAGGTCTGTTGAACTCCACATGGTAGACATGCTTTTTGGGAATGGAGATTGCTAACGTCTCGAATTGAGGCACTTCAGACGAGTATGCTCTTAATGCGATGCCTGCAACAACGAAACAATTAAACTAACATAAATACAGTGTGCAGCCACCAAATTTCATGTTTTCATTTACCTACTTATCATAGACTATCTGTACACAGCAGTACCAGGTGGCACCCTCAAGGTTGTGGCCACGCAATTAAACACCAGCGTTAATACAAAAAGGGCGAGATTAATGTGCCATAGAGTACCTCTATTAAATGGTGTGAACACCTTAACAGTTTGAGACAGAATGCTACTAATGCCATCTAGTGGTATTCATATCACACTGAACATATGCAATCCATACAATTTTCTAATTACATTGTACACTATCCATAGTGTAAAACCCAGTGTGGTGTAACGGGATGAATAAGCTGTTCGCTTGCTGGAAAACAACATGCTAACATATAACAGTTTAAATCGCAACAATCTGAGGGGTACTGCCACTGTGGCTAACATCCTGAGACATAAGTTGACAAGAAAAGTTCACCATCACCCCTACTCTTCAAAACCGAAACGCAGTAACGCTCACTTTGCTGCTTGGTGGCAGAAATAGGTAAGTTGGCAGTACTTCTTTGGACGAACGTTTTCACAAGAAACTCTACTTCTATGCTATGTTTATTTCAACCTTGTTTGTACTTTGGACTTAGTTTTTATCTGGTCATTATGACAAAATATCATTCTTATCTTTTTGTTATAGAAGATAATGTTGCTGTATTAAAATAGTAACCACTCCAGAGCTTTTTAGATTAAAATGTTGATTTGAATACTCCATTAGGGTAACATTACATCCAGTACAATATGTTTAATATAATCAAGTTAAACTTTAAGGTCTTGGATCAAAGGATATTCAAAACAGGTTCCTCCCAGGGATTGCCACAATGACAGAATGCGCCGCTAGAGTGCAGCGGATTCCCGCAACCTACACCAAGATGTTGGTGCATCTTTTTTAATCTGTTTTTAATAATCAATTTGGAGCTTTGAGTGGCACTGCAACTGCAACTACTGCAGTGTTGCTTACTACCAGGTGCACAATTTATTTGTCCTGTCACCTGGTATAAAATAATAATAATAATAAGGTGTATAACACTTGGGTGTCAATGTCGTCCTTGTAATATCAACCCCTGTGGATTATTTTTTCTATATAGGAGTATCACCTCATAGTGAGAGGTCACTGATCGATTCACCTGGTGTGAGTGACAAAAAGTTAGTTTTTGAGTTCTTATTACTTTGGTTATCTATTTTAGAGTCATATTATTAGGGTTGCTTCACTCAGATCCATTACTGCAGAAAGCAGCAGCAACAGTATACCTCCTTGTGAAAGAGTTTGTCCACAGAAGTACTGCCACCTTACCTATTCTGCAGCCAAGCAGTAGTGATACCATTACTGCATTTCGGTTTTGAAGGGTTAAGGTGCTGGTGAAATTGCAGGCACAGGACTTGTCAACTTATATCTCAGGGTGATGACACAGTGGCAGTGCCCCTCAGATCTTTGCGATTTAAAGCTCTGAGTGGCACTGCAACTGTAATGGACAAGCTTACCATCAGGCAGACGACTTGTTCGTCCCTTCACTTAATATTATAAAAAAAAGCATTAACTTTACTGATCTATTGTGATGACCACTAATTACAACTCAGAGTCAAAGCCTCCGTGGCAGAATGGTTACCATGCTGGACTGAAACGCAGAGGTCCCAAAGTTCGATTCCCGGGCCGGAAGAAATATTTATGTGGCCTGCATTTATTTATCTCGTGAGTTTGGGTGTAATTTGTGTTTGTCTATGTGTGGGTCCATGGCACCCGCGACTCAGGGTTTCCCTAATGTGGAGCTATGTTGAGTGTGTGCATTATTAAACCCGACAGCATTAATGAACTGCAGGCTTTTGCTGGCTTTGGCAGTTTTAATGTCCTGTAATTACGGCTTGTGCCCTCTCAGTATAGAGCTTTGTACTCCCATCATGGGGCAGGATTGGTTAAGGGATGCAGAGGAGTTTCATCTACCTCGCGGCAGACTACACTCTCTAAGTCTATGGGTTAGAAACTTAATGCCTTTGGAGTTTTTCAAGCCGTTCCTGCAATGTGATGATTTCACAAATGTTAATATTAAAGAAAACTAGTATTAACTAAAGTTAATATTACGACTTGTGCTCCGTTACGTAATGACACGACCGGTCCTGAGCGCAGCGAGTTGCCTCTGTGTGCACTCTTGCAGTGTTCGTAAGACGAAATACGCATATTGCTGAATATGTTTGTTCTGTTCCGTTGTTCCTGTGCACGAGTTCTTTGTGTTGTATGTGTTATGTCTATATGTCTGTGGCTATATGTATTCATAACTTGAAATTGTTTATCATAGACCACATACATACTTTTATTTCTTCCGTGTTGTTTGTTGTGTATCAGATTCCGTTTACCTACTTTTTGTTTTATTTAATGTACATTTAGGGGACTATGGGTTTATTTATAAGTTAATTTTAAAATATGTATTTTTTTATATGTGTGTAACTGTTTGTCCCTCAATAAAACAAAATAAAAAATAAAAAACTTTGACTAGTGATTACCGAAGGCAGACTCACTCAGATGAGAATTCACAATAACACAAACTTTAAATCAAAAATCTGGTCAATATGTTATGTGCAGTGCCATTTTTTACTTAAACATTTACCTAGGTCTCAAGTACTTCGTGTTTCATAGTTGATATTCGAGATATTCATGTATTTCCTGGGACATTATAATTCAAGATGATTGGTTTATGATGTTTAGCACAATATGGTCGGGGACAGTACAAATCTGCATATGTAGTATTGGTAAAATGCACATTTCTGCACCAAACCAAATATCACAGGAGAGCGATTTAACGTTACAACTTTGTTATTTCAATGGCTATTTCCATTCTTGCACAGTAAATATTAATTTATGTTGTCTACGGATTGATAACAATGTGTTCCCGTAAATCACGCTAATTTGGTTGCCACGACATGTACGCGGCTTTGATTTGGCTACTAAATTACCGAAATGGAGACTCATAATCAAATGCTATCTAATGCTAATATGACGATATGCAGAAGTATTAATATACTTACAGTACACAGTAGTCTATATAGCCCACAGAAGTTAACATGAGATTTTGTATAATTTCGTAGCTGTTGATGTTATGGTAAGAGACAGACGAAGTACAAAGGTTTGTATTGTTGGTTTGAACTTTGTAATATGTAACTGCATTACTTGACAATATAGGTACTTGCCATCAACTTGCGACACTCTGCTTCTAGTGTCGATTTACAGAAAAATAGTGGCAATAGAATCCTCAAAAGAAAAAAAATAATATCAGGAAGAAATAAACCAATCTTCTATTTTGAAAATAGAATAACAACCATGCAAGTTTGGAAACTTACCGACTGTGGTCCTAGAATTCTTGAAAATAAAAGATCTTAGTAAAGGTAACATTATTCAAAATGTAATTATAAGTTTTTAACAAAAGCAAACGACCATTCAAAGTCCACATAAACAAATGAAAACCTTCGATTAGTGTATACAAATAATTGAAATTTTTTCCTCTGATCCAAACAAAAATGAAATATGACATTTTATATGATTTTAAGCCTTAAAACATTCTAATAAAGTGATTATTTGTGTGGCACATTTTAAAGAATTGCAGTCATGTTCGTTTCTTTATCAAAACATTATTTGCTAATAAATGTCAAACGTGTTAAACGAAACTTAATAACATAAATCTGTAACCAGCCCCGAATAGCCTCTGCTCGACCACATTCATTTAATAATTTTCTGCCCCAACAATGTGAGTCGGAGAAAAATTCTCATTTCTGATCAGTCTTAATTTTTAAGAAAAATGAATATTCTTTATTCGTCCCGTATTCTCCCATTTTCTTTCGTATAATTTTATTTCTTTCTCCATCCTCCATGATAATTTTCCACGCTGACACCGGTCAAAAGTTTGTTATTGAACGAAAACGACGCCTAACTTTGTTTTACTAAACGATTTTATTTTTTATTTCCCGCTAAATAAAACTTCCTACAACGTTTCTAAAAGAAAGAAAATAACATGAGCTCTCAAATTATATTTTTGTAATGTCATTAAAATATATATATAACCGTCATTGTGAATAAAAACCGCCGAAGTATTTTAATAACCGGCAATCTGTCTCACTACCGCTACACATGTCTCTCAACCCTGACATTGGCAAAATCGTCGCGCAAAACGACGGAGCCATAGACATAAAAGTTGAAGTTGAAGTTGAGTAAACCACTCAATCGCAAAATTTAATAATTATATTATTATGCTAAAAACGAACAACTTCTTACTTTCGCCACAATCTGTCATCTGCTGCTTTCGGTACTTACTACAACATCCTGCAGTTCAGCAGTTCACTCTAAAATTTATAGATGGCGCTAAGAGTATCAAAATATTCGTAATATGCTGTACGGGAAACTGTAGTTCTAAAGGTAGTTTGAGCTGATTGGGGCTCAGATTATTTTTAAATGAAATAGCTGTTTCACTACGATAATTGAAGAGAACACGCAGACTACCCAGAGGTACGATTTAAAAAAATATAAAATAGAGAAATTTCCATAAATCAGTAAATCGATAGTAAACAATTTTTGGTACATTTTGATACACAGAATCTCACAATACAAGTCGATTCACATGTATGCTAGTCGTATGAAAACAAATACCTATAGTCAGTATTTACATTGGATAACATGGCGAAATGTTTATTACTATAAAATGGTTTTTTATAACAGAGTAATGTTTATGTTATTTTGACACAGAAATTAAGTGTACAAATATTGTATTTAAATCGATTGTTTTGAATACAATCTATAATGCCTATATATGAACGAAATAATATCAATCATTATATGAATGGAGAGAGATTTCAAGATCTTAGGACATATCTCTAACAATGAAATGAAAATGTTTTAGACAAAAAACAGTACAGAGTACTAAAAAAACCGAATTCAAAAGTCATTCATCTCCAAGTTTGCCACCCTTAGAGGTGGAACATATTCTTCAAATTTAAATAGGACCACATCTGAGGTACTTTCTTTCCAAAAAAAAGAATCATCAAAATCGGGTCTTAAATGCTAGAGATATTGTGTAACATACATAAAAAAAATGTGAATAAATGCAACATGAATTCTAAATTAAGAAACTATCCCAGCAGAGTTATTAGAATGTATTGGTCTCCAATGGGTAGGTTACAGCGTTAAATGAAAAAAAAAAGTTTTCATGTCATGCGCCTAGTGCTAAGCGACACGACTGTCTAAGAGTCGTATTCTAGAACTCGACTCAATGCTCAAGTCAGGATTTGAGTATGGTTTAAAGCACTCGAAGTCATACTCAAGTCCCTGCCATTAGGGTCGTATTTCCAGTGTTTGTGTTTCCAGTGCAATCCTGACTTGAGCATTGAGTAGAGTTCTGGAATACGACCCTAAGAGCAACTGCCACTGTACGTTACTCTGACACCTGAATTGAAAAGTCCCAGTACTTTACTGTACTGTACCAGCCCCCTGGCCCCTGACCCTTCAAAACATTAGTGACAGTACTTCCCTGGACGGGGAAGGAGCTCTACTGCTGCTAAAAAGTTGCACACGGTAGGCAGTTGCGAGGCAAGAGAAAATCTTTCTGGTACAGGAAATAGCAAGAGGCTTTCGGCGCGCGTGTCGCGTTTAGTTCGCGGGGTGCGTGCGCCATAGTTCTACTTTGATTAATTGTAATTTTATTCACGTTCAAAATTAGAGAAGCAGCGCTGAAAACCGTGTGTGTCACGCATCAAATTGACCGACTCACTGTTTAGACAGGTGACCATGCTTTTGCAATAAAATTTAAAATTACTTTATTTCGTAAGTTTTGCTTACGTTGCGAAATAAAGTCATTGTGAATTTTATGGCAATCACGCTTAAAATTGAAAAATTGATAAACTACTACTTATTCATAAGTCTGATTCTTCTAAGAATTACGAATCAAATCTAATGAAATCAATTAATATCTTTATACCGTAGATAATCAAGGTAGGTAAACAAAGATAAACAAGAAATCGTCAAAGTCGTCGAGAAGTGGGAAAAAACTGTTTCTGTCATAAAGATCTGGGGGTACCGCCACTGCGCCCGTCACCTTGACACTTAAGTTTACAAGTCTCATGTGCCTGCAATTTCACTAAATTTATATTACATAATTAAGTAATGTACGACAAATCGCTTAATTGACCGTGCCCCTATCTTTTTGTTTCATCAAAAGAAAAAGTTAGGTGCACCACAGTTCATCGTCAAGTTTGAATTTCAAAAACCATTTTCACGCTAGCGTGCAAAAAACGCTTTTGCGCGCAAATTTCTAATGAGAATGAAAGCCTTTTTAATTAAAATTAAATTAAATTGTTTAAAGCAAAATATTATTAATAATGGGCAAAATTATAATAATAAAAGAAATAGGTTTTCCAATAGAATTAAGGTCATGTTGTGATAATTTTTGTAATAATAACGCTCATAAATTAGAGCCTCGAAAATTAGTTGCAACATTAGATAATGTAAGCGTCGTACACACAAATAAAATGAATCCCGGGACTGCTATCCCGGCAAGTGTTGACAGTTTGTGTGAGCCTGTACAGATTGCAAACATGTTTGGGGCGCTTTTTAGAGTAAAAAGTCCGCGCGTAGGGGCGTCAGGAGTGGTGTCGACTGAGGATCGTCATTTTAGTTTCTCGCTCAGAATGGTTGACCGAGTTATTAAGTCCATGACGAGAGGAAAGTCGCCGGGGCATGATGGACCACACTGGAACACACCTACCCCGGGTTCTCAAAATGCTTTTTAATTTGTGCATTACCCAATGCTACCTTCCTGACAGTCTAATGAAGACGATTGTGCCCATTACAAAAAATAGAACGGGGGATGCCTCTGATGGGTCTAATTACAGATCAATATCATTGGCAACAGTAGCGGCTAAAGTGCTGGATGGACTATTGGACGGTGTGTTATCAGAGCATGTAAAAACTCAGGATGCCCAGTTTGTTTTAAGCCCAATCTGTCAACTGAAAATGCCATTCTATGCTTTAAACATACCGTCCAGTACTATACCAAAGCGAAAACGCCTGTTTTTGCCTGTTTCTTGGACCTATCTAGGGCATTCGATATTGTCTCTTATGATATCCTGTGGGACAAGATGGAAAAGTGCACAAGTACCCCGGGTGAGGTGATTAATTTGTTACGCTTCTGGTATGCGAATCAGACCAACCAAGTGAGATGGGCAGGTGCGCTCTCAGACGTGTGCAGATTGGAGTGTGGAGTGAGATGGGCTTTGTTCGCCAAGGTTGTTCAATCTGTACATGGATGAGCTGATCGCTGGGCTCAGTGGCACTGGTATCGGATGCTCAATAGGTGATAATATAGTGAATAATATAAGTTACGCAGACGATATGGTGCTGCTGTGCCCGTCGATCAGTGCGCTAGTACGACTTTAAAAAATTTGTGAGGTATATAGGAAGACCCATGGCCTAAGGTTACAGATAAAAGTTAATTATTAGTGTTTAGGGCAGGTAACAAAACTCTCTCGTCAATCCCCACGGTACATCTGTGCGGCGCTCCTCTCCAAAGAGTGGCACGTTTCAAATACCTTGGGCACTGGGTCACTGAAACCCTCCGCGATGATGACGATATGGAGAAGGAACGCAGGGCTTTGGCCGTACGTTGTAACATGTTGACCCGTAGGTTCGCGCGTTGTGATGAGGAAGTTAAAATTACCTACCTACCTAAGTTACACTAAAAAGACGGTCAATGGCCTGCGTGTCCTATACAATAATGGTTTCAGGATGCTGTTGGGACTGCCTCGCTTTTGCAGTGCATCAGGTATGTTCGCGGAGGCGCGTACTGATAACTTAAGTGCGATAATATGCAAAAGAACTGGGAGTATCAGATCTGCGATACATTTAAGCACTGGAACTACGCACATATGGGTTCCAGAGGCTTGGTGTATAACCTAATGTAATTTGATTTTTTCTCTGACAATATATTTTACTAATATAGGCTACAAGTTTTCTGTAACTAACATGATACGGACAAAGTCTGAAATAAATTATTTGATTTGTTTTAAGCTAGTGAGGTGAAAACAAAATTTATAAATTAAAAAATACGCTACACAAATTTAAAAAAGTTTCAAATAATAAAATAAAGTCTAATTAAAATAATGAACTAATATCAATTAATCCTTATCAATTATAAATTCTTTCGTATAGATATAATACAACAGCACACATTTTCCTAGGAATTAATTGTGATTATTTAGGACGATAACTAAGTGTCATATGAGTGTGAAATACGTCATCATGACGTGTAGTTAAGCCACTCTTCCATGTAGGTTATCTTAGGCGATTATCACACTGCACCGCGCCTTGCGATGGGGCGCGGAGCTGCGTTTTTTAACGTTGTACTGAAG